TTGGCAATCGTCAATGGCAGTCAGCAGGGTTTAAGAACATCAGTTGTTCGACCTGTTAGTCAAATGCGATTTGTTATAATATACTTTTCAGTTTTTTGGTCTTTTGGAAAATGTTGTTTGTGCTGTATTTAGAACCCTCTACCAAGAAATTTGTTTAACATGCACACGTATAAAAAATGCGGTTTTTATCCAACGCAATCATAGGTTTGAACGTTGTTTTCAATTTAGACTTGTTTATATATGTATACAATGTATATATATTCAATTTAGACATATACGTCTAAAATGTTTACAACACCGAACCATAATGATAGCAAAACATTTATGAAGCAATAAATACAAGACTCAATATTTCTTTAACAATTTTTAAACTTATATCTTATTTATTTATTGTGTACAGTATCGTTTTCCATAACGATCTGATACCTTGTAAGAATGATCGTTGACTATTATCTGGACGTTCTGTGTGTGATACTTGATCTTCAGTGAGTATCAGAAGAAACATTTATCTTTTCCTATAGTAAGTTTTGAAGTCAACCTGTCAACGTTTGTTCTGTCCTTTGACTTTGTCAACATGTTTCCAGTGTCTACCTTGTCATACTGACTTATTCATATCCATTAAACATATAAAAAGAAAAAATGTGCAGAGAAATAATAACCCTCTCTGGTTACAAAACATTTTCTCCTTGGAGTGGTTGTGAATTTGTTTGTTGGTTATTTTACGACGACAGGTGCCTGTTGCATCCTAATTGCACTATTTGGCTGTTAACGAATATCATAATAGAGTTAACCTTCAGGTACAATTGGGATCAGTTTTAACTGCACTTAAAATATGCCCTTGCACATTTAGAACCGGGACTGGCAGAAGCTGTTCTACCCAAGAACAAGTTTAACTTACTAGAACAATTTTGGACAGTTCCAGCTTAGAACAGATTATGTCAGGTAGAACGGTGTAAAATAGTTCTATGACAGATTATTCGGACAGTTTTGAAGAGAGGTTGGAACTGATCCAACCTGTAGCTCACATAGGTAAGATTACAATTAAATCAATGTTGTGCTTCATTACAAGACACGTTTGATAACAATTGTAACGAGAGAGTCTCGGAGACGATTATACCAAAATATTGTTACCTGTCACAAGATCAGGGGCCATGTCAACAACGTTGTCTTAGGACTACAACATGTCTTAGGATAGTCCTATGTCAGGTTAACGAAAGTCTCTTGAGATAAGATATGTCATCAATTTTGTCCTAAAGTTAGGATAGCTAAAAGAATGTCCATAGATGGTCTTAGGATAGTCCTAAAACTTGGGAGGTTTTAAGTCAAAATTAAAATTTCAAAACGAAATGAAATTCTTCTTTATTGAATGAATTCAGCCAGCAGAGTTTGTTGTTTTCGAAAAAAATGAACTTGAAATAAAAAAAAAACTCCATTTCTTACTCATGCTGATCTAATGAATATATATTCATGTATACAGGTAATGTATGTAAACGAGTGGACCAAAAGTCAAATCTTTTATACACATTAATGACAGCACGATTATAAACTCTAATGTATCGACCTCTATCCTGTGTGATAGGCATTAGGTTTTTTTCGCGGCACATTCTTTATTTTTGATAAAAAAAAAATTCAATAACATTCAGGAACACTTTTCTTAAAAACCTAATATTGTATTGTTTATTCCTAATTTTCAATGGAAGCAAACTATTTTTCACCTTCTGAAACATTTTTTTTCGTAAACCCCCACTACAGATGAATGGCCGGTACCTAAACAAATCTCAACAGTGTGTTCCTTATCCAAAATTATTTTTATTTTTACAGAGGATGACCTTGAGGTCACTCCGATGTATTGCTATCGCCTAAATTTCCATTATGCAAATTAGTTTTGGGATTTCAACCGATCTATAAAAATTATAGATCCGCGGTCATTACAAGGGAAAAAAGTGCATTTTTATACCTGCGATTCCGTTCTCCGTTCGTATGATGTTTCATCAAAAAATGGAATCATTTCAGTTGTTGATTGAGTACTGAAAATTTGACTGAATTATCTCCTTATTAAATACGGTTTTATATGTTTAATAGGTGTTAGAAGAAAGAGGTCAGGTGCTCATGTTCATTCATAAAATTATCGTTCATTCATGAATTTATCGTAAAATCAAAATCACTACACAGGTCACACAGGTTGTATACGTCGTGTCAAAAGATTACCTGTATAGTATCTAAAAATTATAGACAAACTTAACTGATTCCCCTTACTGTAGTGTGTGATAACATTTTGTGAGGGAATTCGATGTTTGCTATACCACTGTTCATTTCAACGCACTTTATGACGATACCACTTTATCAATATGAATGAAATTTTTTTGCAGTGTTTTAAGAAATAATTTTACTTTAAAATCGCGTATCATTTGTGAACTATTAAATGTTTTACAAGGACGAATTTTCTGTATAAAGTCAATAATTGTGTGAACTTTTGAAGCCCAAACTTTTTATAGCCTTAAATACGCTAATGAAAGATCCGAAAACTATACCCATACAGAACGACATGTTTTTGAAATTGTAGCAAAACTTTTGGTTGACAAATTTTAATTCGTTATTGCATAAATATTAACTTGAAATATCTGTCATTTTCTCCCTACCCAGTTTACCTCTATTACTCATTATGATGTGGACTTGACATTGTTATTGAATCTTATGCAATTTGATTGGATTAAGTTATAATTTATTAGATTACCTTCAAACTGTTCATGCTTTTTCGTACGAGTATATTGATTAAATCAGAGCGTGCATGAATGTGTACAGAAAATTAAGTGACCTGCAAACTGGACACTGGACCAGTCCATATTACGTTTTATCAATGAATAGATTTTTTTTTTATTTCCCAAATTACAGGGCCCATAAAGGGCATAAAATCAGATACAATTGATTTACATAATTGGTAACAACAACAATAATAGCGGCATATAAATAGATATTTAGTATATAAGCATTGGTCAGAATCAGATGAACGAAACTTAAGGTATGAAAGGTAACAATTGCCACTTTTTATCTTTTCACATAATTTTCCACATACACATTAGATAAATTATTTTTGATAGCTTATTGCGGAGAAAAAAGAGAAAGTTTACTGTATTACGTTCTATTCAGTTAAATACGCCATTTTTCGAAGATAAATGCAGAAAAACATTTATGAACGGCTACGCCAGGTAAAATTGTTGTTTATCCTAAAAAAAAATACAATTTTGAGTTTCATTAGAATATTATAATAATAATAAATCCCAAATTTATGTAGTCATTAGATAAAGTCCTTATATGTCCGATCTGCCTATTTTTGGACATCAAAAGACAATACGATCGTTTTAAGGTCAATTTCGTCTACCTCACACAATCTTGTTAGGCACTATAATGAAATGGACCTGGAATTTATTTCACATGTTTCCTGAAAATTGATAAATATCAAAGCAACATAGAGCTGTTTGTTCTAGTTCGTATAATGACAATTTAATGTCATGTTTGTTTGTGATGACCCCCCTTTTCGGGATTGCATCAGAATTATAGTTATCTCGTATCGCTGAGGATGACACATGTCAACTGAGCAATTATGTTTGGGACTTAGTTTTAAGAAATGATGTCAAAGTAACATTATGAAAATATTTTTAGTAAGCTGAAATATATATTTATTTTTTACATGTTTATGTCTTGTAAGATATTTTATTTCTGTCCCGTTTTTCAACATTTGCGTCTGGAAAAATGAAATGTTTTAACTGAATGGTTAATTTAAATTAATTATGAAAATGGTTAAATTTAAATTAATTATGAAAATGGTTAAAATTAAATCAATAAAGGAAATTATTGCCCAGTTACAAACACTACCTGGGGATAATCCATAATGATTTTTTTTTTCAGTTATATGTTTCAGCACATGTATAATTAACCCCAACTTTAGCCTGGTAAACTTGTTGTCTCCTTGTAAAATATAAAACATATTTAAAATGATTTCCTGCTAAAGTCTTATATTGATATAAAGTTAAAACCGTCTTGCTTCTCACTAGTCAACACTCCTGTCCTGTCAGGTTTAATTCTTATATATATATGGATGAAAAATAAAAGTCCACAAAACATTAACATGGCAGCAATTGCTTTTACAGCCTTTAAGACTTTGATTTTTTTTTACAGAAGAGTGTCCACCATGCACTTGCATTACACTATAATAATAGTAGAATAGTATGATATACAAATAGATGAAAATTATATATACATGCAACCGTAATATTAATATAATATATAACAACAAACCAGTGTATTCTCTGGTTTGTTGTTATATATTAGAATAGTATGATATACAAATAGATGAAAATTATATATACATGCAACCGTAATATTAATATAATATATAACAACAAACCAGTGTATTCTCTGGAACTATTATTATATTAGTATAATAGTCTAAGGTATACTGATTTGTATCACTACAATATAATAGTTATTACGGTGAGGTTGAATTTCCTGTCATTTATTCATCATCCAAGCACGAACTTGTATAAGAAAAAAAAATCTCTGTAAATTAACCTCAGTTTCAGGTATAGAAATGTGATCTGTTTCTGTGACATGTGCTTTTGACCATCCACAAGAACCTGCGGTCATCCGATGTTCAGTACTTCAGTACTTTGATTTGTTTTGTTATCAACAGTTATAATAATTATTTATCGTATTGTTATTCTTAGAACAGTTTATTTTGTGTTAGCACAGAATTAATATGATACTCCCCTCTTAAACATGTATACTTTAAAATATTGTCTCTCTCTCTCTTTCTCTCTCTCATTCATTTATTAGAATAAAATGATCATACGATGGTGATAGGACGATCCTAGGTAGTAAATTCCTAAGACAGCCGTGTTTTAAAGCCTTAGAAATAACTCTGTAATGTTCTAAGACCGTCCTATATCAAGTGCCAATACTCCGTTGCCATGGCCCCAGAATGACAATAAAACTAAAAGCAATTATATTTTTTTTTCAAAACTTTATTAAAATATAACTTTCACCAACATTTTTGAATTCTTTTTAAAATTAAATATCAGATTGGTCAAATGCTCAATATATCCATCTTTTCTATTACTTCTCAATTTGCATTAACTTTCTGTGTTGTAGATCCGAAACGGTATGTATAAAGATCAAATTCTTCCATTTACAGCAAATCTATAAAAAAAAAGAACAAAAATAAATCATCATGTCTTGTCATAAACATTTATAGCATGCAGCTTCACAGCACATTTCCATAAACTTATGATAAATATCCTATACTACGGTCCGATTCAGTATCAGTTATTGCTGCTTATGGTTTAATTTAAAGATTTATGAAAAACTGAACATATTAACATAAAAGTCTGGACGATACAGTAATTCTATCTATATATTTAATCATACACAGTAGATTACAGGTAATGAATAATTAGAACGCTAAGAAATGTAATATAATAGCCATTTCCAGAATGTTATATATCTCAAGGATATTCATTGTGGTGGATATTACTGGATGGACGTTATTTGAAAGTTTATGACCTTTGTTCAGAATAGATGCTTTGGGTATGATGCTTTTCAAAAAATTAAATTGTGTAGCAGAAAAGGTAAAATTTACACAATTCATATGCAGGAAGTGATACCTCTTTTGACAATTAACTTCAGACCTAGAGACTCCATATTAACTATGTTTTTATATACTTACAGAGCTTAACCGAGTGTTTTCAGTGAGTTTCCGGTGGCGTTGGTGACATCCAAAAGGAGCAAGAAGCCGAACACTGTAAGAAGACAAATTAAATGTATGATACATGTCCTAACAACGTATCGTTAAGTAGACAATTAATAATTCTTATTCGCATAAAAATCCTGCAAACAGTCCCGTCTTTAATATCTATATATACTGTATTGTGACCGTATACAAAATTTCATCCATGTTTATCATATCTATAAAATGTTCAAATTATGACAGAAGAACTTTAAAATCTATGATTTATTGATAAGTTCTGTTCTACAGTTGAAAAAATGGTAATAGTCTTAGAATATTTCACAAATTTATAAAAATCAACCGATAAAAACCACACGATGACCTTTAGATATCTTATTTTGTTTTTGAGTGTTAATGATTTAGAATGTTTAATCCAATGGAACATGTTGTGTGAAAACTCATGTATTAACGCGTCCAAGAACACGAGCAACAAATCGTCGGATATGTGAATATGTTAAGTGTTGTAGGCTTAATCTTTGACCTTGTCGAACAAGTTTTTCAGTGGAAATTCAAATTATCCATCACTTCTCCCACCCCTCCATTTCAGATCCTATGAATTATTTAATTGCGAACTATTTCTCGTCATGCAAACAATATTTTCCATTGGACAGAACACATTATTTTCTTATCTTCACACGAAAACATATTTTTTTCTCCTAATAAATAAATTAACTCATAAATCGAATCATATTTATTAATAAAGCATTGTTTTATCTGGTTTGTATATAACACTTTATAATTGATTTAGTTTGTTATAATTATTTAAGTTAAACTTTCCGCAGGTCACATGGCTGCTACCGGGATCTCAAGAAACTAAGGTATGCTTAATGAATAAACTACTGACGAGTAAAATACATAGGTAACTGTTTTGACAGTGAAATGGTTTTCCGAGATATCTGTTTCTCAAAATAGCTAAAATCAAACTGACCAAGGGATAGTCCTAACATTATTCAAGATCTTTCCTATCGTCACGTTATGGGTAAATATTCAAGAAAATAAGACCTTATAGGAGCAAAGTTTAAAATTAGTACTAAAAAGTGATATATCTGGATGAATAATACACGCTATTTGGTTCTAAGGAGAAGAAAGTTTGATGTCGTGAACACAAATGTTTGAAACATGAGAGGAAAGCGTGTAACCAGTATTATTTTATTATTTTGGCATGCTTACAGTAGTTGAGAAGTCTGGCTCCTTTGAGTTGAGCTGTGGCAGCGTTTCCATAGTTGTACAGTCCGGTCTGTTGTCTGTAGGCATTATATTGATTAGAGTAGTAAGCTGGATATCCTGATTGGTATCCGGATTGGTATCCGTATTGCTGGGCCATGACGAAAGCAACAAGGCATGGGAGCAGGACAAGGATGATAGACTTGTTCATTTTGACGATTTTGATACTTTGTTCTGGCTAAATATGACACAAAAAGGTAAAATTCATAATTGAATATATTCATATTTACAGATATGAGCCAGTCTATGCAAAAAGGTACTAAAACGAAAAATTAACGGAATTCTAAAAATCGTGCATATTTATTGATAGCAGACTTATGTTCTCCTAGATAGCAGCGAGGATAAGGATCTAACTTGTAAGCAGAAATCAGTGCAATTTAATGGGGTTAACTACTGGAATTCCGTATAAAGACTGTTGACTTATATTACATTTAACAACTTAACTTGGCTAAAATCACAAGATGATATCATTTTTGCATTTCTCCGTACGTTTAACTGGCGTATGCGTGTCTTTATGCATATGTAAAGCTGATGAGCATTGTTGACATTGTTTCTCTCTGTAGGGTCATAAATGGTTTAAATTCGTGTCAGTATAGCATTGTTCCGTACAATAAAAAGCAATCAGAAATTTCGATTTCTTTTTCCGTTTAAATGACTCATTCGGAACAGAATTGACCATATTATGAATGTTTATAGTAAATATACATTAAAAAAGGATGACTTGGAAGTTCTCGTGACGCATAAATTGTGAATAAAATATAAAATCCATAATTATGTAACTTATTAAACAGCAAATCTATGAACTTACCCGTGAGATTCCTTCTGAGAATGATCTACTTTGGTATAGCGTATCAGTCGGTTTTATAGCATTAAAATGTTAGACTTTTGCAATTATGCATAACCTATCCGGAAAAGATGTGTTTTGTATGTTATTATTTGACAGTAGATCCGGTTAGGTATATACGATCGGGTTATATAAAGTTGCAATATTATGTTATAATATGTCAGTATTGATAACTAAAAAAACAGGAAGTACATATATATACTGGTCACATGCAGTTGGTGTAAATTTTAGTTTGGAACGTTTAAACATTAAAATTTTAAAATGAAATATCAACACAAAATCAACTTAACAGTTTTTTGTTTTCATTGTACGAACATTTTAAAAGTTAAAAAATTTGGGGTTTGGAATGATTATAGTTATATTATTATAGTACATAATTTAAGATGCGAATTGATAAAACTGTAGAGGAGTTGACGTAAAAGATCACAATTAAAATGAAAGTTTCTAAATTAATCACTATTTGTAAAGGTTTATTTTAATTTATAGAAGCTTCAAAGTCCCTACTTCGAAATAGAACGGAAAATTCAGAATACTCAATGAGACACTAAAATGTTCACTTCAAAATATATAAAAATTATATTTTAAAGAAAAGTGAAATGAATGCATTTTTAAATAGATGATAACAAATAGCGTGATTAATTACTATCACAACTCAAAATGATAAATAAAAAATAAGACTGTACAAGAAAATTTAAACAAAGATTGAACATAGGAGTTTGATGAATATAAAAATAAGGAGATGTGGTAAGATTGCCAATGAGACACATATCCACCAAAGTTCAAATGAGGAGGATGTAAGCAATTATAGGCAACCGTTCGGCCTTCATCAATGAGAAAAACCCATACCGTATAGTCGGCTATAAGAGGCCCGACATGAAAAATGTGAAACAATTAAATAGAGAAAACTAATGTTTTATTTAGTTTCCTGAAGCCATCTAATCTGGTACTTTTATACTGTTAGTATGATAGTCCCAGATCTAATAGACTATAGAAATATTGAGATTAGATAGGATATCATTTTGTATCATAAACCTGATGATAATTACTATCAGTACACCAACTGTCGACTTAAGGGGCATATACACACCATAACTAATTTGATTTTTCTTTCTTGTAAAAGATAACCCCTTTAACATAAAAAAAATATTGAACACCTCGAGGAATTAAACGTTCCTCAAATACTTATAATCTGTAAGGTTGGAGTAAAATGTAAAAAGAACTGTTTCTGAAATTACAAAAAAAATATGTGTTTGTGTCTTAGAAATCATTCATGTGTGAAGTCAATTTAATAAACCAATAAATAGTTGTACGAATGTAGGAAAATTGCACAATACAGCATGTTCGATAATTTGATGTTTTTTTTCGATTCAATATTTCAACAATACATGATCATGTTTCACCCTTAGGCTTCACGTGTATTGAATTGAATTGAATTGAATTGTATAACTGTTAGAATTGTGTTTAAATTATCTGATTAAAAAGACCTGTCATATATATCTAATTTGATTAAAAAGACTTGTCATGTATGTTTGGCAAGGTTTATTAATGTAACCGTTGTCAGTTCTTCAACATTTGATTGGTTGTTTGATTGATGGTTGCTAACGTTCAGTGGCAAATATTCATGCATGTTCAGGACGAGAACAAATTAACACCAAATACAATAGATAGGTCCTGTAATAGAGGCCGTCCGGGATGAAGGTCGGGGAAATTTGAACTGCCACTGGAAAATGAGGCTATATTGGATAGGGACAGAAATTTTGCCTTGCAACAGGCTACCTACGGATCCCTCAAAGTGTTGTTGCAATGGTTCTTAACGTGCAGAGAGCGTGGCGCTCTCTCTACACGAAGCATATGATTAAAACGTCCCCATTCTGACCAGACGTGGCTGCGTACTTGCACATCCCGCATGTAGCCAAACGGACGCCCCACTTGGCAAGGGTTATACTGCGGGTTGGAAGGAGACCAAGAGTGTCCATATTTCAATTCCTCATTCACCCTTGGGGGTCAAACATTTGAAAAATCAAATTGACGTTTTTTCAACAATTGCCAACAATAAATAGGCTTGGTGTTTGTTTGCCGCTTAAAACTGTTGTTTTGGGGAGATATAGTGCAACCTGCACATGTTGAATAAATAATTGCAAAATAAGTGTTCAACTTTTTGTACCATTTATTTGATTTTTGCTTTATGTTCCAAAAGACGCCAGACCTTTGGACCAAAATTATTATCAATCCCATAACTAAAGAAAACATGGCAGATCCGCGTGGAAAATTTAAAGTGGTGTTACTCATAATGTCTTTCAAAACTATATGAAAGTTTGGTGCTCCCAATTGTTGAATATGGAGCTGGTTTTTTCTGGTTGCTAAACTTTGTCTTTCATTAATCCCATACATATTAAGGTTTGCAGATATTTGTGCGCATTGCATTTGCGCCAATTTTTGAAAAATGCAGTATTTCATTTACGCCAAAAATAAATACGGTTTTTGCTCCAATTTACAGGTAAAATTTAATGGAAACGTTTTAACATAAGTTGTATCCTGAATACAATGCTCAAATAAGAAATGTAGATTACCCCCTCCCCTTTATAGGGAAAATAAGTGATTTCATACTAATTTCTCATACAAAACCGAGAGCCACTTACAGGTCTTCAATTGTATCTAGTGTTCACATGTTTGAGGTGACAAAATGGACATACTTCATTCGGAGACAAATAGATGAGAAAATACATCCGTAATTTTAAGAACTTACATTTAGGATAACTAATTTATTGAAAAACGGAGACAAATCGTACAGATGTACCCCAAAAAGTTGCAAAACCAGAATCACAAAAGATTAGGACAGCAAAACCATTATAAAAACACTGAATGATGCAATCAACCACCGTTTAAGACCAGCAAAAATTAAAATCTCGGCATTTAAAAAGCTATGTTGTAACCTTATTATTAAAAGTCTCTTTTCAATATAGATCTATTATTCATGCTATTATCCTGTATTATTGGCGCAATTGAAATGTATTATTTTGGCGCAAATAAAATATGAAAAATGAAATGCCATTTAGCGCAAAAGCAAAACACCGGATTTTTCGTTGAGTTGGTAAATATACTCCAAATGCTGCAATTGCAGAGGATATGGGTGTAAATCTATCTTTCAGAATAATTGCTATGTTTAATTCGACTTTGGTGCAGTTTGTACAGTATGAGTTTTAATCGGTTAAAAAGAAAAGTTTTCATATGAGTAGATACTAAGAGTTGAAAACACAAGTGTATAAAGAAAATTGTATGTAAAAAAAACATTTTCTGAGTACGATGTAAAATATTTGTGTAACAATACAGAATATATATTGATAATACCTCAGTTGTTAATATAATTATGTCAAAAATGTTTAGTAAATATGTTGATCAGTGACAATGCCAGTCAGAGAGAGCTAGATCTGGTAAAGGTGGCAAAGCACTATACAGTCAGAGAGAACTATATCTGGTAAAGGTGGCTATGCACTATACAGTCAGAGAGAACTATATCTGGTAAAGGTGGCTATGCACTATACAGTCAGAGAGAGCTATATCTGGTAAAGGTGGCAATGCCTTATACAGTCAGAGAGAGCTATATCTGGTAAAGGTGGCAATGCACTATACAGTCAGAGAGAACTATATCTGGTAAAGGTGGCAATGCACTATACAGTCAGAGAGAGCTACATGTATATATGGTAAAGGTGGCAATGCACTATACAGTCAGAGAGAACTATATCTGGTAAAGGTGGCAATGCACTATACAGTCAGAGAGAACTATATATCTGGTAAAGGTGGCAATGCACTATACAGTCAGAGAGAACTATATCTGGTAAAGATGGCAATGCACTATACAGTTAGAGAGAACTATATCTGGTAAAGGTGGCAATGCACTATACAGTCAGAGAGAACTATATCTGGTAAAGGTGGCAATGCCTTATACAGTCAGAGAGAGCTATATCTGGTAAAGGTGGCAATGCACTATACAGTCAGAGAGAACTATATATCTGGTAAAGGTGGCAATGCACTATACAGTCAGAGAGAACTATATCTGGTAAAGGTGGCAATGCACTATACAGTCAGAGAGAACTATATATCTGGTAAAGGTGGCAATGCACTATGCAGTCAGAGAAAACTATATCTGGTAAAGGTGGCAATGCACTATACAGTCAGAGAGAACTATATCTGGTAAAGGTGGCATAAACATGGAAGTTCAATGTACAATTTATTTAAGAACAGTTTTGAAACTCAAATATGTAGCAAAATTTCAATGCCATCTACATGTTTGTCATTCTGTACGACCACTAATGATTGATAATATAATAAAAAAAAATTCTAATATTGACTTATTCGGACAGATCATTTGTTTGAATTACAATACTCGAAGACATTAATTTATACTAGATTCACTGTAACTCCTATAATTACAGGTAAATTTCATTAATCCTTATTGTATATTAATCTTGATTTTAGGAAACATTTATTTGATGAAGCAAAACATTTTATAGTGATTTTATGTCTGTTAATGATAAACAGAAATTACTGTTTTTATTCACAGATAGAAAAACAGGTCAATCACGTTCCTCTAACAAGAAAGTATCTACCTGTATACAACAATATCAAACGGTGGAGAAACGTGAACACACGTCGGAAAAACACGAAAACCGTTATTCCAAAGTATTTCTGTAATGCTTGTATTCAAAATGAATAAATGAAAGAAAGGACAGATACATATTGTCTGGTCACATCAATTATAAGGCAGTGGCTATTTTGACGGCTCCGGCATATAGCGATTAGTATAAGTTTGTCTATTTTGCCGGTCTAAATTCAGATTTTCAGTATATTAAAAAAAAAAAAGAAATATAGAAACATACACTTTAATAAGAAATCACAAAAAAAAATATGTCCTCTTCAAATAATGTATACATAAGGAAACATGCATATTAAAATTGATAGTCTAAATAAAGGGGCATTAGCTGTCAAATTCATGTTCACTGATTTGACTCAAATTCTCATATTTGATTTATAACATACTTAAACGTATATCCAAATTATAAAA